TTGGTTGAACATGCTAGCACCACTTACAATTTGTTTCACAGATCATTGGAAGTCAAAGATGGGAAGACACCGTACTCTAGACACCGTGGTCATGAGTGGAAAGTGTCATTACCACCGTTTGGGGAAACAATTGAATTCCTCAAAAGAGGTCACAAGTTTGAACAAAGATGGCACCAAGGAGTTTTCTTGGGAGCCAAAGACAATACCACTGAAAAGATAGTGGGGAATGCATCAGGTGTTTTCACTGTGCAAAGCATTCGACGCAAGAGTGCGGACGACAGATATGATGTCGAAACGTTGATGTCAGTCACTGGGGTTCCTTGGGATCCCCAGGCATCAAAAAGAGATGACATTTTGCTTCCTCAGATTGTTGAGGGAGATCAGCAGCCACTGGCGCCATCAGTGCCAGTTGAGCCACCAAACAAGTCGACAAGACGACTTTACATCACCAAACGTGATTTGGACAAGTATGGCTACACCGCTGGTTGTGTCGCCTGTGATGCCACTAGAATTGGCAAGAGAGGCACTGGAGTTCATCACACTCCTGCCTGCAGAGAAAGGATGGAACGTCTGCTTCAAGCAGAAGAGGGCAACCTGAGAGTAGCCCAACATACTGCCAAGGTTGATTCTGAAATCACTGGTCAGAAACAAGAAGTGTCCGAAGAAGGCACAAAGATCCTTTATGGATATTCAAGCGAGAGACCACAAGGAGTCCCTCAAGGTTTCAAGGTGTTTGCGCGCCTTGACAGGACTGCAAGGTATCTCAAGGGTACTATGCCAGAAGGTCCCAGTTGGGATAACGTCTGGTGGAGAGTCACCAGAGAGTTCAAGACGGGAGACATGATTAAGTCTGAACCAATAGATCCTAACTTAGGAGAAGACGTCATCAACGCACCGTTGATTGATGACACAGACATTGTCACTGAGCTGTGGTATTCTGCCACAGGGGAATCAGCGCCAAGTTTGCCAACTGCCGGTCCAATGCAGAGACCAGTAGTACAAGATCCTACTCCAGTTGCAGTAGGAGGTAGTGCAAGCTCAGCCTCAGCCAAGAGAGCAGGAGGCGAGCAAGAAGAAAGAACACACAAGAGGTTGGAAATGTCACCAACCAAAGGTCAGAAAAGACCTGCAGACTCAGGAGGCGAAACGTCAAAACCCAAAGACAGCCGAGCTGCTTCAGCTCAGGCGTCTAAGGGCACCAAGCGGCCACCTGAGAATGAGAGACCAGATGACATGGATGATATAGACCAATGTCTTATGAACCTGATCATGGAAGATCGGGAGAGGTATCTTCAGTCCATTGAAGGTGAAGAAGAACCAGTTTGTGAAGAGACAATTCCTCTTCCACCGGAGTTGGAAGATGAAGCAGCTACATGGTATTATTATGATGATATCAGTGGAAAGATTTTAGACAGCAAAGGTGTAGAACAAGCCAGAAAAGATGAGGTCGAAATCATCGAAAGTTTTCCAGTTTGGGAAAAGATTCCCAGACACAAGATGCCCAAAGGGGTACGCACCACTGGAACACGATGGGTAGATGTCAACAAGCAGGATGAAGAGAATCCACTTTATAGAAGTAGGTTAGTAGCTCAAGAAGTCAAGAAGGGCTCAGGTTTTGATGAGTTCTTCGCAGCTATGCCCAGTTTGTCAGCTTTGAAGATGCTAGTTACAATAGCCGTCACGTTTCAGTTGCCAGACGCTGGAAAAGCTGTCAAGGAAGCCTATCGCAAGCGTAGACTTCTAGGATTCCTGGATGTGAAACGCGCTCACTTTTATTCAGATGCGACGCGCGAGATTTACGTGGAGCTTCCTGCAGAAGCAAAGAAGCCTGGAGAAGATGTGGTAGGAAGATTGCTCAAATCATTGTATGGAACAAGAGATGCACCTCTCAACTGGGAGTTGCAGATACAGAAGGTCATGTTGGCCTTAGGTTTCAAGCAAGGAAAAAGCAATCCATGCATATACTACCATGCAGGCCGAGACCTCAGAACTGTTGTACATGGAGATGATTTTACAACAGCAGGAACATTTGACAACATCAAATGGCTTCATGAAGAGCTGTCAAAGAAGTGGAAATGTGTGGAACGTGGTATTTTAGGACCACCAGGAACACCAAACACCATCCAGGACATCAGAGTCCTGAACAGAATCATCACGTGGAAGGAGAATGGAATTTGGTGGGAACCAGATGCACGTCACGCAGAGTTGGTGATTGATTTACTCGGAGATGGTCCCCGAGGAGCCAAAGTCAAGACACCACTTGCCAAAGGATCAGTGGAAGATCTTAAGGATGCCGCTGTTTTTCTCAATGATGAAGAAGCAACCCAGTATAGATCAGTTGCAATGCGAGCAGCTTATTTGGCACAAGACCGTCCAGATCTGCAAGTAGCAACAAGATCTTTAGCACAAGGGCTACAACGACCAACTACCAGCCACATGCTTATGCTCAAAAGAGTTGCACGATACCTCAGGTATCGACCACGCATGGCACAATTCTTTCCTCATCAGAACAAACTCAGTCCATTTGTGATGTGGTCTGATGCTGACCACGCTGGATGCGTGAAGACGAGGAAGAGCGTGTCAGGAGGCGTCTTGATGGCCGGTGGTTGTTGTATCAAGACTTATTCTAAAGGACAAGGAGTTGTTAGTCTTTCGTCTGGAGAGAGTGAGTATTACGCTCTTGTGAGCGGTGCCAGCAATTTGCTGGGAGAAGTTTCAACCGCCAAAGACTGGGGTTTGCAACCTGAGAGTGAAGTTTTCATGGATGCAAGTGCAGGAATAGCAATGGGTTCACGTAGAGGATTAGGCAAGGCCAAGCACGTGGATACTCAATACCATTGGGTACAAGACCGCGTTGCCAAGCGCTACTTTCGGCTGAAGAAGGTCGACACTGGCGATATGCTTGCCGACGTCTTGACGAAACCCGTCATAGAGGAGAAAATGAACAAGGCACTGCGGAATATGAACTTTCACTTTCTGGAAGGTGAACATCACCTGACACTGAAGGCATAGATGGCTTGAGTCGTGGCTATGCTCCGCTGTACATATCAAAACTCGCCTAGTTCAAAACACTCGGACTCACCGTGCCTCCGAACAGGCTCGGGAGGCGTGATCAGATATGTGTACAGTATAGACCATGTTACATGTAGTACATATGTTTGTATATGTGCTGCAGCCATTTTAGCCATTTTAGTGCTTTTAGCTACCTTCGAGCTAACCGAGTGAAAAGGTGCTGAACAGTGCTCAGGAGTGTTCATCAGATTTAAGAGCCCAATTTCTCTGTTCATTTACATGTATGATATTATATAACTACATATATTATATATGTATATAAAATAAGATAAAAATGTATGATCATATAACCAAAAAATCACTAGAAATGCTTCTTGCAGATCAATGCTAGTAGCCCAGGTCCCTCCAGGAAAATGCCTGATGCAGCTCCATGGGAAGCACAAAAACCTTTGCGAGGAGCGGGTCGTCAAAGATATGGTGGTGAAACCACCATCAAAGGACGGTCGTTCCACGTTTTTAAAGGGTGTTGCCCGCGCCAGTCGGACCCAAGGCGCTTACAGTCGGACCCAAGGCGCCTGCAGTCGGACCGCCTGCAGTGCAATCACCGGTGGTTGTGGATGGGTTGGATCCGTCTAGGGGAATAGATGTTATGAAATAATTAATGGTGCTGGTCTCGGATCGAAGCTATCCATGTCCCAGCAGCTGTGACTAGTCTCTGAAAATTTTGGTGGCTCGGAAGCACCGTTTTCAGATGATTTCAATTGCTGTGCAAGTTCTTTGTATAGACTTTAACATCTTCTCACACCAGAATCACCTGCGCCTGTGAATGGGCTTGAAAAATATTGGGAAATTGCGCGATTCTGGCTGATGGGCATGCGAGGGTGACAGCAGTACCAGTCAAAGAAGGGGTTGAGATTTGGCAAACAAGTAAGGTAGGATGGGGACATAAATGGGTTTTCCTATTTTACCTTATGCCTTATGCCCTCTCATTTTGGCATTTTGTCCTTAGGCCCCTGCATTTTACTTTTTTTTTAGGGGTTCCACCCCCAGTGGCAACAGACGGGGGTTGTTATCTATTTTCACTGATTGATAATTGAAGTCGGTTTTTACTGTTAGTCATATATTCCTGATGTGGGTCGGAGAAATCAAGCCCAATCAAACCATATCAAACCCATGTTTGTTGTTTATATGGCAGTTATTGGGCCCATCTTAGTCTCCATAGACTTGATTGCCCTTGCCATGGCCATGGCTATTTCGGCCGAGCAGCCTGTCATGCCAAGTTCCCTGGCAGCGAAGCGCCGAGAGCAGGGCGGGACATGCAGGTGTTGCATGTGTTGGTATTACGATATTGTACATCGTGTATGTCATTCAATCATATATATATATATATACATATCGTGTAGCACCCTTGTCAGAAAATGTTCAGAGTTTCAGGAACTTCCACTTAAAGACCTCAGTGACCTTGCATTTGCCATGTGTTTCTGCGATCAGGGATGTGATCAGGTGGCTTTTGTAGAATTTGATTGTATGACTTTTGGTGATTTGCGGGAGTTTGACACTTTTTTTTTTGCGGCTGATTTGTGGATAATTCTTGACGTATTGGAATTTCAAATTTTGAAAATACACCCGCATTTCATGCAGAAGCCTTGTATGCCGCAACATTTGAAAGCCATGGGCCATGGGTTTTGTATGAATGTCTAGGAGTTTCAGTAAGATGAGGAGTTTTGATCATTTTTGATATCGTTTTGCGCGTTCCTTCCATGCCTTCATAGATTTTTAACTTGGAGGTTCTAGCGTGTGTAAGCTCGGTCAGCTGGTCACCCTTCAACCTATACCACATTCTAATTTGGGAATTTTTGCAGCTTTGTACCTCCTGTTGTGGCATGTCAACATCTTGCAACTGACCAAAGTGGGAATCTCATGTTTATTTTACATAATGCACAGCCCAATGAAAAAAAAACTCAGGTCCTGGGTTTATCATTATTCTACAACTACCCAGATCTGATCATGGTCTTCAGGTAAGGTGGAACAGACGTCACTGCTGCGGGCCGAGTCGCCTTCCATCACGATGCGCGACAGCGTCCCTTGGCGCGGTCATCGCAACGCGCTTTTGGCATCTTCCCTGTTTTCCCTGGGCCTGGTGCTGGTTTTACTGCTGATCATCTCTGGCGAAAAAGCTGGGGATGAAGCTTGGCGTGATTTAATTCCTCACGGGAAGTATGTGCCGGTTGAATGGTGAAATATGGGGAATTGACCATCAAGAAACGGGTTCAAAGCAACTGGTGATGGGCATACCTGAATCTATTGCTAGAAAGAGGGGTAGCTTTTAACCTAGCCGAACCACCTCAATTTATATCTTTTTGATATTTATTGCAGGGGCCATGGTGTTCCCTGCCATAAACCATTCCAGCTGAACTGGTGAAGAACGGTAGAATTTGTTTGCAAGTTTAGTGTTCTAATGCAAGACTTGCTTCGAGTGAAACGCGTGTTTCCCAAAAAGGTTGCAAACAAATAATTACAGTTTCCCTACCTTTTTTTTCATATAGCTATTAAAAGCCACCATTTTAATAGCTGGTTGGTGGTTTGGATCATTTTTTATTTTTCCATATACTGACTTTCATATTTTTCAGAAGGGTTGAAACCACCAACCAGATGGGTTGTGACTTGCCTTATTTTTGTTTGAACTTCTAAAGGCTGTGAGTATCTAAGATCAGGGGACACTGGTGAACTGGAATCAAATGCAGTTTGACATGCCAAAACGCGGCAATCGGAGCAGCTAAAATGGTTAAGTTACCCTAGGGCAAAGGTTAACATATATGTGGAAAATGGAAGAACATGGCACATTTATGAATGAATTACCTGTGTATTTGTGGTGATTTTCCATATCGAACTGTTAGTTTGCCCCAGGGTAACTATAATTAAAAGCACTCCAGAAACCATGGTGAATGTAGGGCATGAAACCGTTGGGACAATAGAATATGGGTGTAACTAATATGAGCGGCAATCATTGGAACATTGACCAAGGTTGGTGGTTACAGCCCCAAACTTGAATTCCTGATGTGAGCCGAGAGGGTGAACATGAAAATTAGGACTAGTGCCTCCGATGGATAACTTCCATCAACTTCCACAGTCCAAACTTATAGAAACTCACTCCAGTCGTGGATAACCATACGCATTCAGCCGGTGAATTCTATGGGGAATTGGCGGTGTTTTATATGGTTTTCCCTCACAGTTTGGATTAGTATCCGAACATGAGGCTGCCATTTTTACGTTGTTTGGCTATATATCATGATATATCAGTGTCGGACTAGCGAAAGCTCCTAAACCACAGGTGTCGAGAGAATGTCTACCCTCGGGTAATCAAGCTTCGCAGTGGGAATCGCATGGAATTGCGATATTCACATATATACAGATGCGGTTGTGTCTTAATATGTATATATATATATACATGTTAAACAATGGGTTTCTCCTTGTCAGGTTAATTACGAGCGGTTACTAGAGAGTTCCCACGTCGTAAGATCAACCTTTCGCAACTTGTTGGGTATGAGGTATCCAATGGTCAAGTCTACCAAGAACAGTTCTAGCTGGTCATGATATGCAAACGCTAGCATTACATTGTGTAGTTTCTGTCCACGTGATTTGCTATGTTTTTTGCCGCAGTTTTGGGGCAAAGTTGGTGGATAAGCATACCATAGTATACCAGAACCATGGAAGAAATGGAACGGATTGAGCCAGAATCATGTGTGGTCTCTTATTGGGCATTCCGCTACTTGGGATTAGCTATAGCCGCAGAGGGATGATGGCGGATGATGATGATTCGCCAGCAATACCCCCTGGTAATCGATCATGGCTTGATGGAAAAATATACATACAGAGAGAGAGAGAGAAAGAGATATATATATATATATATACCATTATGTAAAATGTGGTATTATGCCCATTTAGTTTGGGGATTTCCCAGTTCGCCATGATTGTTGGTTGGTTATATCCCATATACTATGATCCCAGCATATATATCCACATTTCCAATTACTTCCCTTGATATCCCATCATATCCACATTTCAACCGTGCATTTAATGGTAGTTTCGCCCCAATACACGGATAACTTCCCAGTATTTCCCCATGCTTTCCTCATGTATTTCCTGATTACCCTTTGCTAAGCATGGCTGGAAAATCGATCATTTATAGTTGATTTATAGTTAAGATGTTCCCAGCTATAAACCATTATAACCTCATTAAACCCCTGTTTATTTATACAGGATTTCCCATGGATTTTCTATAGCTGGTCATTTTCCCAGAGGCTATCCCTGTTTCAATTCCTGTTTCCAGCTGTGCAGCTGTGCAGCGCCAGGACGCCTTGGCGGACGAAGCCAATCCACCCAAGTGGCCGTCGTCGGTGCACGTCTTCGATGCTACGATGGATCCATCCGAAACCAACGCGACTTGGTCTGAGCTGCCTTCTGTCCTTAGTGAATTGGTGGTTTCATAGGCTCCTAAAGTTCCCAGACCTTCTTATAAATCTTATATCAATATTTCAATTATTTTCAAGTCATATGTCATATCAAGTTATGTTATATCCATCAATAGTGGTTTCACTCGTGACTTCTCATTGCGGGGAAAGAGCGATGCACCGATGTTGCCCAGATGCACCTGGTCATGAGACATCCCCTGTGGATGGAAGAAATCCTGCACTCGTTGATAGATGGTAAATATCCCATTTTTGTATCGGGTTTCAATCATCCTTTTGGCAGTGGATTTAGCATTGATTTTTTGACGGAGGGTAGACCAACCTCTAAAGCAACGGGGGAAACAATTGTGTCACCAGCTATGTAGGGCTTGACTGATTTCGCACGTCTAATCACAGATGTCCAACTTTACCATTGCTGGGTTTGCAATGTATTTGTACCCTTGGTGTTTCATGGTGTTTCACTACAATTGCTAGGGAGCTACTAGTAAACAAACTGATGCAGACAAACTGTTCCACACAGACTCTTCTCACATTGATTTCCCACCAAGGCATTACAATTCCATACGCTCGCAGGATGATTCATCCCATCACCCTGTGGTCATTTTTCAGTGCCAGCAGATGTTGGGAATCCAGATCTAGTTTGTCTCTTGGAAAAGGGATAAAACCAATTATCCCCAAATCATCGTAATCTCACAACTTTGAACCTCATTTTCAAAACGCGATGGCGTCCGCTATGGCAAGTCTTGGGGTGTCCCCCCTTGTTTAGTGGCACCATCTACACCCAAGGCCACTCTGTGGGAGATCTTCAGGCGCATGGGTCCCTTGAAGAGCGGGAAGCTTGGCAGCCAGTGACCACCTGTATTTGTCGCAACTCAGGAATTACTGTATAGCAACCCCAAATAGAAATGACCATTCCCTACCCATTCAAAACAGGGTTTAGTTGTTTTTTTGATAAAACGAGGAGCGTTCCAAATCATTGGATTCTTGGACCCATTTTGAGACAACCTCAGGTAAACAAGCAAACATGTGGTGTCACATGATTTCAACATATTTCAACGTCATGAGAGAATGGGGATGGACGCCAGCCACTACTGGTATTGGCGTAGTTCAATGAAAGAATTGTGCTAAACCTCTGAACCAATCATGCGCGATTTTGTTGTTTGTTTGGTGTGAAAGCATTGGGGTTATCGGCTTAGCACTGGCCATGTCTGGGCTTGACCGTGTGGCCGGATGGATTTAAGACTTTTTTGTGTTTCGGAATATGGTGGGATAAAGTGGGAGACATGTAGGTCATTAATTATATTATTTATATTCATAATAACGATGATATATATATATATATACAGGCTATACATGCATTATTATTCTATATAAATAAATAGATAAAGTATAAATAAATAAATCAATAAATAAATAAATATATAAATAAATAAATACGTGTATCCGCGCGTATGTACGGAAACATTGTTTCGAGCCTCCCTTTGGTCCTTTGGGAATGAGGCATGGCAATGGGAAACCGTACTTTTGAACAGAAAAGAGCAACAACTGCAAGCGTCAACAGCTTCTGATTATTGTATTTGTACTTGAAGTCTTGAAGTACTTGATAAATATTGATTGCAGGAATCGAATCAACGAAAAACAACACATGGTGAGGCAAATGCAGGTTGCTTTTCGTTGCAATGTCCTGATGTGCCCGTGCCTTGAATTTTAAAAGAAACAAAATCATCGCATCTTACACGGTACATTGGCCATCAGCCCCTTAGCAAGATTGGCAGCCCTTACCAGTCCCATTTAATGTTCCACGAGCTCCAAAACTGATAGGTATGGTGCCAAATACATTTAAGTAATTAAAGTACTTCTTTGATCTCTTTTCTCGGTGGTTTCAATCAAGTGCTCATACTATTTCAAGCGGTTTATCTCTTTTTTTGATGTCTTTGGCCAAGAATTGGATGATGGGAAAATTTTAACCGGAAACCCCATCAAATTTGATGGTATTTTTGCCATGGTTTCCGGTTAAGATTTTCCCAACTAAACCAATCCATTGACTTTGGCCTTAAGTGGGTGATATTAACCATCCCTATATCCTGTAGACATCTCCAAAGTGGTGATCTGAATTTCTCAGCCCAGGAAGTTCAGCTCTGAACGGCGGCTGGATCCCAGACATCGTTGGGGACGAAGAGTTTTTTCAAAGAAGCCACTGCTATATATGATGATATATGATATATAATGTTACATATACTAGCGCTAGCGTTAAGTCGTATCAGCTTGTAAAAGTCGTATCGGGAGGCCGTGCGCCTGGAGAAAGTTCAAGTTTGGCATCACCACAACTTTTAGTAATTGAACAATTTCATTGTTTTGGGGCCGTGCGGCTGGAAAAAGTTCATTTTTTTGAATTGATTTTAACAAAAATATATTTGATCATTCTTTCAAGGGGGCAAACGCTGGTTGCTGCTTGCTTGCTGCTTGCTTGCTACTTACTGCTGCTTGCTGCTGCTTGCTGCTGCTTGCTGCTGCTTGCTGCTGCTTACCTGTTGTTGCTCACCTGCTGCTCACCTGCTGCTCACCTGCTGCTTGCCTGCTGCTTGCTGCTCCATGCTGCTGCTTGCTTCTACTTGTTGCTGCTTACCTGCTGCTGCTTACCTGCTGCTGCTCACCTGCTGCTCACCTGCTGCTCACCTACTGCTTGCCTGTTGTTGCTGCTCCTTGCTGCTCCTTGCTGCTCCTTGCTGCTGCTTGCTGCTGCTTGCTTGCTGCTTGCTGCTTGCTGCTGCTGCTTGCTTGCTTGCTTGCTTGCCTGCGTGCCTGCGTGCCTGCGTGCCTGCGTGCGTGCGTGCGTGCTTTCGTGCTTGTGTGCGTGCGTGCTTGCGTGCTTGCGTGCTTGCGTGCTTGATTGATTGCCTGCCTGCCTGCCTGCCTGCCTGCTTGCTTGCTGCTTGCCTGCTGCTTGCTTGCTGCTTGCTTGCTGCTTGCTTGCTGCTTGCTTGCTGCTGCTTCTTGCCTGCTGCTTTCTTGCTTGCTTGCCCGCTGCTTGCCTGCTTGCTTGCCTGCTTGCTTGCCTGCTTGCTTGCCTGCTTGCTTGCCTGCTTGCTTGCCTGCTTGCTTGCCTGCTTGCTTGCCTGCTTGCTTGCCTGCTGCTTGCTTGCCTGCTGCTTGCTTGCCTGCTGCTGCTTGCCTGCTGCTGCTTGCCTGCTGCTGCTTGCCTGCTGCTGCTTGCCTGCTGCTGCTTGCCTGCTGCTGCTTGCCTGCTGCTGCTGCTGCTGCTGCATGCTGCTGCTGCTGCTGCTTGCTGCTGCTGCTTGCTGCTGCTTGCTGCTGCTTGCTGCTTGCTGCTTGCTGCTGCTTGCTGCTGCTTGCTGCTGCTTGCTGCTGCTTGCTTCTTGCCTGCTGCTGCTTGCTGCTTGCTATGCTTCCTTGCTTGCTGCTGCGCTGCTGCTGCTGCTGCTGCTGCTGCTGCTGCTTGCTGCTGGTGCTGCTGCTGCTGCTGCTGCTTTGCTGTGCTGCTGGTGCTGCTGCTGCTGCTGGCTGCTGCCAGCCTGCTGCTGCTGCTGCTGCTTTCCCTCCGCCTGCTTGCTGCTGCTGCCTCCTGCTGCTTGCTGCTCTGCTTGCTTCCGCCTGCTGCTGCTGCTGCTGCTTTGCCTGTCTGCTGCTTGCCCTGCTGGCTGCTTGCCTGCTGCTGCTTGCCTGCTGCTGCTTGGCTGCTGCTGCTTGCCTGCTGCTGCTTGCCTGCTGCTGCTTGCCTGCTGCTGCTTGCCTGCTGCTGCTTGCCTGCTGCTGCTTGCCTGCTGCTGCTTGCCTGCTGCTGCTTGCCTGCTGCTGCTTGCCTGCTGCTGCTTGCCTGCTGCTGCTTGCCTGCTGCTGCTTCCCCCTGCTGCTGCTTCCCCCTGCTGCTGCTTGCCTGCTGCTTGCCTGGTGCTTGCCTGCTGCTGCTGCTGCTGCTTCCTTCTGTTGCTGCTGCTGCTGCTGCTGCTGCTTGCCTGCTGCTGCTGCTGCTGCTTCCTTCTGTTGCTGCTGCTGCTGCTGCTTCCTGCTGCTGCTGCTGCTGCCTCCTGTTGCTATTGCTTCCTCCTGTTGCTATTGCTTCCTCCTGCTGCTGCTGCTGCTTCCTCCTGGTGCTGCTGCTGCTTCCTCCTGCTGCTGCTGCCGCTCGTGCAAACATTTTGCCGAAACAGAAAATAACAGTCTCGGTCGCCTTGTTTGGCGCTGACGGGAGGTACAGGCGGGAGACACCAGCAGAGAGAGGGAATGTTTCTGGCTGGTTGGAATGAAACATTGCGGTCGCATAGCGCGGTTGTGTCGCTGTGCTCACCATCTGCGCCATCTCGCACCATCTCGCAAGACGGCGCAGACGGCAAGACGGCGCAAGACGGCGCAAGACGGAACAGACACAACAGACGGCGCAGACGGAGCACCGACAAAACCTGCCACGCTTTCCGCCCGCAATGGAATGAAGGTTTTTCCAATTCGTAATTCCTGGGTGAATAGGACAACAAACTTCTTGAGAGCTGTCCACGACATTGATGCACATCGCGCCAGCCATAGATTTGGTTGCGGAAAACAAGGGACCCCCATATCCTTATATCATCCTAGATCATAGCCCTGCCAATAGGATTTGCTACAGCTAATCCATTTGCATTGCAAGAAATTTGAGGCTGTACCAATAGGGGTTTGATTTGGTCACGCGACGCAGGACATCAATATAATATATTCAAATCCAATAGGATTAGCTGCCGAGAATTTGTTTGTATTAACTTGTGCCCTTCAAAATCATCGCTGTGCGCAATGCTTCGGCTACTTTTAACTACATCTCCAAGTATGGATGGAACAGGCTGTGCCATGGTGATTCTTCTTCCCTGATGTGACTTTCCACTACCTGATGTGACTTCTCCGTATCGCCGCCGTGCCATGGGGATGATGTGACTTTTCCCGCCTGATGTGACTTAAGTACGGTGTTGGTATATATATATATTTATTTATTTATTTGTTTTTTTTAACATATATATATATAATTATATTTATATATTTATGTATTTATGTACAGTATATATATTTTTTTTAATATATATATATATGTATCTATACATGGGTGATAGTATAGTTGCCTTATATATCTTATTCGTGGGTTGTATATGGTTTCTATTCGGGTTATGGTTGGGTGATAAAAAAATACACTTACTGACTGGGATGCACATCCAATGAATGAGATAAACCCAGTACCACAAAGGGGAGAATTGAACGGTATAGTTTTAGGATCAGTCACTGCCAATACATGGATTTTGAACTGAGGTACGCTACTATAATATTTAATTTTATATCATGTGTGTTTTTTTATTGGATCCCTTTTATCGTTGCTTGCGATGGTTTAGCGTTGGATTTGCCACTTTGGACACCACATCCTGCAAAAGATGTTCACTTCAAGGATAATGAATTGGCCTCAAGTTACTGAGTGCAGTCAACATTTGAAGGGGAGAACAACTGATTGTCCACCAATAGTTTCATTTTCTCGGAGCGGAACAGTGGTATCGTTCAAGGGTCCCAGAAGCCATGGCGCATGTTTTTTGCTTCCAAATTAGGAAACTTTATACGGGAAAATGGACGATCGATAAATGTTGAAGGCCCTGAGGCCCCTGCAGTTTGGCTGGTCCCGTTTTTTGTGGTACCCAATTCCGACCTGGCATACACATGATCAATCAAAATGGGCACAAGTTGTAGGTCACCATAGTGAAATAACTGGATCACCCCCATCCACATATGGGACAATCATTACCATGTTTAACGGTTGAACCCTTGCCATAGCCTTCGAGTCTTAGTCTTATACGATCTTATACGGTTTCCCAGGA